AGTTTGCGTACATATTCTTCTCTGTCTTCCAAAAGCTGCCTCTGTGAATAAAGCTCAAGTAAGTGTCTGTGTAGCACTACTGGTCACCAAGTTAAAAAGTTTCAATGTGGGTGGTAGCAGCAGGAAGACGAGTTCAAGGTCATGATCCGCTCCATAGTAGGTTCAAACCCAACCTGGGCTTCAATGTAAGACTGCCTTTATAAAAAAACAAAACAGCACATAGCACATGTCTTGTTCCTGCATGTTCCATAAATACTGTATCCAGGCTGAGTTCCCTGCCTAACACTCAGATCGGTGATTCTCTCCCTATTTTAATTTTTATACAGTCACTAAAAGCTAAGGTTTCACTTTGAATGTAATTCTAAGTCCTTTGTAACTCCTTGGTAGCCAACACTGACTAAAACTGCTCCACGTTCGTCTTCCACTGAGTGACACGTACACACATGGCATGCTTTCCATCAAGCTGATCTACTGAAATACAGCCAAATATTATGTGAACTCAGCACCTCATCTGCTCATTACTGCCCTATGCACATCTGTGAAGGCAATACATTGCTTTGTAAGATACCATACTCAAAACTCCTGGACAGAACATTTAGTTAGGACTCTGCACCTAGTTTCTAGTTTTGAACCAGGTAACTTTCAAACTGTGGTCTGCAGGCCAGTCCAAGTAAGAAGTTAGACCTCCATCTCCAGAGACAAAGGTGACCACTGCTAACCCTAAGCATACTCCTGGACAGACGGGTGAGACAGAGAACACATTGCTTTCTCCAGCTCCCCTGAGAGTCATACACAGCCTCTCCAGAGCCTCACCTTCCTTGTCATGAGATGACATTCACACCCCTGTCCTTCCCAGGACAATAAAATGACAATTATCTACTCAGAATGCGACAGGTGTTGGGGGAAAGCCACTAACAGCACACTGTGCAGCGCTCACAGCCACAGACACACTCTGCACAGCACTTTTAAGCTATGTAGGGTATCTCCTGGACAGGCATAGGTAGGAAACAGATGAAAATGGATGGGCTGAAGGGAGTGAGCCTGTTTCAATACTTTTTAATTTTGTGAACTGTATTAACTTGATAAAACCAAATAAAAAGGCATCTATGAACACCTTTGCCACAGTTCCCCAGAGCAGCTTGTTAATGTAATAATGGAGGCATGAGGGAACCGGTGCGAGCAGCCTACCTTCTGCTCCTGTGCCTTTTCCATGGTCTTCCTGAGAGTGGATTCCAGTTCATCCTTCTCTCTGCATACTTCCAGGTAACACTCCTGCACATCAGCCATCTCCTTGTTCATCTTATCAAGCTCAGACCTGTAAAACACAGAAATGCCGAATAAGGGAGTCTGTACACACACACACACACACACACACACACACACACACACACACTCGAGCACGTACACAACTTCTGCATAACAAGCCACTTCCTCCAGGTTACAGAGCAAACAGGTGGCAGAGGCCTGTCTTACCTGAGCTGTGACTGGGTCCCCTCATAGACCTCAAAGAGATGCTGCTTCTCCACAACGTGCTTTGCTAAAAGGCTCTCTCGGATCTGGGCCTTCATGGCTTCATGGTGCTGCTGGTAAGTCCTCTCACACCTAGCAAGAGAGGGGCACTAGAGCGATGAAGCTCGAGAGACAGAGTGAACTTGCCAGCTGGTCTGCCTGCCTTCTTCCCCCTCTCTTTTCATTGATGCAAATTATAATTAGGTCAGACTGCTTTCCCCCACCAAAACACGAATCTTCATGTTTTTAGGGAAAACTGGACACTTGAGTGTGAGAATGTCTCAGTACTTCAAACACAATTATAATGGGTTAGCCTGGTGCTGCGTGTATTCAAATGCTAAATTCTGTACCCCAAGATCTGGTCCAAGATGAGCAGATTCTCATGTATACCAGCCATGTAAACCTTGTCCCCCAAGTTATCGATGACTGGTTAATAAAGATGCCCATGAGGGGCAGTTGGATAGGGGCGGCCCAGGTGGAACATGGCAAGTAATACTTAGGATTACTGACAGGGAAGTAGACAAAATAGCACAGAGGGCTAGTATCTGCCCAGCTCTAGTGCTTTAAGGTGTCATAAATATGAAGGTTTTATGTCTTTTATTTGGGAGTTAAATGATGTAAGGTGGGGTAGAAACCCCCAAATAATATTTACTGCAGGGGCTAGAGAGATGGCTCAGCAATTAAAAGCACTGACTGCCCTTCCAAAGGACCTGAGTTCAATTCCCAGCAACCACATGGTGGCTCACAATTATCTGTAATGGGACCCAGTGACCTCTTCTGGTGTGTCTAAAGACAGCAACAGTGTACTACTCATATACATAAAATAAATGTCTTTAAAAAAATATTTACTGCAACACAGAATAGTTTGTCTATGCCAAGGGCTGTTGTTGATAAGAAAATAACTTTAATTGAACTAACCGAGAAATAGTTCACAAATTGAAATCATACATATCTAATACACAGAGATCAGCAGAATTCAACTTACAAGTCATCTTCCAATGAAATGTTTACAAATTTATAATTCAGTATTTGGAAGTCAAAACCCCTCTCTCGTGTCCCAGTGAAGCAGTTGTGAAGAGCTAGAGTCAGTCCACCACATAAACACTGTCCCCGTGTTCCACGTTGTACTCCAGGAGAGAGGCGACGTGGACTCACCTGTCCACAGCTTCCTGCTTATCACGATCAAACTCCTGCACCATCTGTCTCATCTGATTACACAAGTCTTGGTTTGCACTTCTCAGCTTTTCTTCAGTTTCTTTAAGTTCCTACACACAGAGTAAACGATTACAGAACAGAAATACACCTGTACTTATCAGTCTGACTCTCAACACTCTGGGCCTTACATCATCTGATACAATCGCTCCTAATTCTACACAAGAACAAGTATCTTCACACCTTAGTAAGACAGATATATTTCTGTGTAAACAGCATCCTAACAGGAGTAAACAAAATCTCAGTTTTGTTTTGAAATGTATTAAACAGAAATATTTAACCAGAGAAATATTAGCTAAATGATACCTTAAAATAAGTCTTAGAATTCAATAATCATCATCTAAGCAAACAAGGTTTTACATCTTGATCAAGAGCTGGCTAAGAAGAGGAGTAAATCTATTGGTCAGGCTACCACATGAAATAGGAACCACTTAACCTTCTAACAAAAGCACTACCCAGCACTAGTAAGGGAAACAGCCGGAACCCACAAGGCCTTCCCAAACACGCCCACCAACTAACATTGCCTGTGTCTGTCACATAAGTCAATACGGCCATGAAAATTCTCATTAAACGCCATGTCATTCACCTGATTCTGTTGTTGTAAAACTTGAACTTCTTTTTTCAGCTGCAGAATATCTTCTCTGCTAATTGTCTCAGAAGAATCAAGCCGTAACTGATTAGTTGATTTTTCAGAGGTATCTGTTTTAATCTGAAAGTTTAAAATGGTTTTTAAAACAAACAAACAAAAAAAACAAAACATAAACAAATACATACATACTTTGAAATAATTTCATTTAGGAAAAAGTGTTTAAATAGAAGAGTTAATTACCATGTCTTTTTCTTCATCTTCTTTCTCAAATACAATCAATTTAGTCCTCAGGGCAAGAAGTTAGCACTGATGTGTGATCACCCGTCCTACAGGCTTTATCCAAGAGACTGTCCCTCTTACATCCCTTTCTGCATTAAGATTAAATCCAAGCCACATGGCGTTTGGTTGCCATGTCTCCTCCCGCTGTAATATTTCTTCAGTCTGTTTTCCAAACCCATGGCACTTTCTAGGAGTGCTAAACTTGGTAGGCTGTTTCCTTGGTGTTTTTTTTTTCCTACTGTTATTAAACTCAGGATAGGTGTCATTAGCATGAATGCTAAGAAATGATATATGTTCCTTGTAAGAGACATGGGACAAAAACATGTTTCACCACTGGTGATGACCAGCTGAAAGCAGAGCCTCCCAGGCATCGCACCTGCTGCTCACTGTCTCCACACACTAATTAGTACAGTGCACCTCAGGAGAAGGCTACTCTGAGAGTAGTCACTCCACAGGAGTACCATATATTCCACTTATGTACCTCTTTGTCCCAGTACTACATTATGTGCCTTATTCAGTAGATACTATTTTAAGATACATGATATATGCTGGTTCATTACTTTCCAGACAAGTCATGAAAATGAGCATCCTGCTAGGTGGTGCAGGAATCAGCCTCCATTCTCTTAACTGCTAATGTCAGCAATTATTCTCAGTTACTGAGCTAGATGGGAAAGGGAAAGCTAACAGTTCCTTCACCTGAATTCTGTGCTGCCCTCAGAGTGGCATCTCTTTGTTTATAGGACTGTGTGTGTTCCTTCTGTCTGAATGCTTCCGTATCTATGGGTTCCTTATTCTCTATATGAGAATTAATACATCTACTCAGTTCATGAAAATACCTGTAACTATTCCATGATTTTATCTGGTCACAGTCGTGTGAAAACCAACATGGATTGTTTTTAAAGGGGACCTATTGCCCTGGCTACATAAACATGTGGCTAATAGGCTTTTTGAACTGATTTCCCAAAGGAATTCCAGAGATTTTGGACCTCAAAGCTAGAGAAATGCTGACAGGCTATAGGCAGAGCACACTGGGCTATTCTGACAGGATCATGGGCAGTCCAGGGGATAACAGAAATGTAGACAGTGAAGTCTGGCTCTCTGGTTTCAGCTGGCAACTGGACTATAAAGCCATTTGTGTAACATTCTAGAAAAGAACCCATTTGCATTCTGTTGCATCATGAGAATTTGAGTGAGGCTAAATTGGAAAGTAATGGAATAATCCATTCTGAAAAAGAAATGTTAAGACATCACAGCATCTGGGCTGACGCATGGCTACTGCTCACTGCTCTGTTCTGCTCATTTAGGTCTCAGGTAAGAGAGAGCAGGTGAAGCAGAAAGATACTAAAAATGCACCGTTTGGCTCTCGGTCCCATATTGAACTCGAGTTGGAAGAGGCGAGTCCGGTCTCAAAATGGAGGTAAAACCGCCGCCCGGTCGCCCCCAGCCTGACTCCGGCCGTCGCCGCCGCCGCCGGGGGGAGGAGGGCCATGATCCAAAGGAACCAGAGCAGCTGAGGAAGCTGTTTATTGGTGGTCTGAGCTTTGAAACCACAGATGATAGCTTAAGAGAACATTTTGAGAAATGGGGCACACTTACAGACTGTGTGGTAATGAGAGATCCCCAAACAAAACGTTCCAGAGGCTTTGGTTTTGTGACCTACTCTTGTGTTGAAGAGGTGGATGCTGCAATGTGTGCTCGGCCACACAAGGTTGATGGGCGTGTGGTGGAACCAAAGAGAGCTGTTTCTAGAGAGGATTCTGTAAAGCCTGGTGCCCATTTAACGGTGAAGAAAATTTTTGTTGGTGGTATTAAAGAGGACACAGAAGAATATAATCTGAGAGATTACTTTGAAAAGTATGGCAAGATTGAAACCATAGAAGTGATGGAAGACAGGCAGAGTGGGAAAAAGAGAGGATTTGCTTTTGTAACTTTTGATGATCATGACACAGTTGATAAAATTGTTGTTCAGAAATACCACACTATTAATGGGCATAATTGTGAAGTGAAAAAGGCCCTTTCTAAACAAGAGATGCAGTCTGCTGGATCACAGAGAGGTCGCGGAGGTGGATCTGGCAACTTCATGGGTCGTGGAGGAAACTTTGGAGGTGGTGGAGGGAACTTTGGTCGTGGAGGAAACTTTGGTGGAAGAGGAGGCTATGGTGGTGGAGGTGGTGGCAGCAGAGGTAGTTATGGAGGTGGTGATGGTGGATATAATGGATTTGGAGGTGATGGTGGCAACTATGGTGGTGGTCCTGGTTACAGTAGTAGAGGAGGTTATGGAGGTGGTGGACCAGGATATGGAAACCAAGGTGGTGGATATGGTGGTGGTGGAGGAGGATATGATGGTTACAATGAAGGAGGAAATTTTGGTGGAGGTAACTATGGTGGTGGAAACTATAATGACTTTGGAAATTATAGTGGACAGCAGCAATCAAATTATGGACCCATGAAGGGGGGCAGTTTTGGTGGAAGAAGCTCAGGCAGTCCCTATGGTGGTGGCTATGGATCTGGAGGTGGAAGTGGTGGATATGGTAGCAGAAGGTTTTAAAACAAAACAGAAACGGCTACAGTTCTTAGCAGGAGAGAGAGCGAGGAGTTGTCAGGAAAGCTGCAGGTTACTTTGAGACAGTCGTCCCAAATGCATTAGAGGAACTGTAAAAATCTGCCACAGAAGGAACGATGATCCATAGTCAGAAAAGTTACTGCAGCTTAAACAGGAAACCCTTCTTGTTCAGGACTGTCAGAGCCACAGTTTGCAAAAAGTGCAGCTATTGATTAATGCAATGTAGTGTCAATTAGATGTACATTCCTGAGGTCTTTTATCTGTTGTAGCTTTGTCTTTTTCTTTTTCTTTTCATTACATCAGGTATATTGCCCTGTAAATTGTGGTAGTGGTACCAGGAATAAAAAATTAAGGAATTTTTAACTTTTAAAAAAAAAAAAAAAAAAAAAAAAAAAATGCACCGTTTGGTAGGAAAAGGAATGTGAACACATTTAAACTTGCAGACATGGCAGGCCTGGGAAAAACAGCTCTAACATTAGAGATTATTGCAGAGGGATCTTACACTCCTCACTGTGTCCGAGTTAGAGTTTAACTGAGCATCAGAGGTGGATGCTATGATTAAAACTGATATGGTTGGGTGTCAAGTTAAGAAAGGGCAGAAGATCATCAAGTATTTAGTCTAGATCATTCTAAGTATTTAGAATCACCTAAGAGACACACCACTGGGCGTGTCTGTGAGAGCATTTTTAGGGAGTTTAACTAAGGATGACAGGAAGAACCACCCTGAACATATGTGGCAATATTTGATGGACTGCAGCCTGGGAGTGAGTTAGGGAAGAGGAAGGCAGACGAGCACCAGCATCCATCTTTCCCTGCTTCCTGGCTGTGATGGCCGCTCTCCCACCTCCATCCTCCCCTGCCATGATAAGTCACACTCCTTTACCAGGACACTTTTCTTAAGTTGCTTCTTGTCGAGGGTAGTGTAGATATGTTGTATATTACGGCTCATCCCTCAACAGTCACTTATTTTCAGCACACTGACAAATGTGCACACCCACACAAACACACATATACAAAAGAAACTTACGGCAGCTCAGACACAAAAAGCTTTGTGTTTTATGTTTACAAAGAATTGAGTATATGGACTCTGACTGTTATTGGGTCAGTACAGTTTTTCTAAGACCTTTACATATTCTATCTTTAATATATATACATATATGTGTGTGAATATATATATTCATACATATATATGCATATATGTATATATATACATATATATTCTTATACATCTTTTCAAAATCAAAAATGAATAACTATTATGTGTATATGTGCATATCAATACAGTGCCCAAGGAATCCACAGGAGGGCATCATAGTCCATGAAGAGTGCTGCCCAACAAGAGTGCTGGGAACCAAACTCAGATCCTCTGCAAAAGCAACTGTACATCCTTGACCACTGAGCCATCTCTCTAACCCCACTACATTCTATCTTAACCACCCAGTTGGTCAACTGGAATGATTATCATATCTGATCTACTCTCAAGCACTGTCTAATGCAGTAATGCATTCTCCTCTACCATGTATTAGCCTGGAAATACTACAAAACAGTATGCTTTGACTGTTTGTTTTGCTTGAGACAGAGTCTCACTATGTAGCTCTGGCTGGCCTTGAACTCACTATGTTAAACCAAGCTGGCCTGAAACTCAGAGTTCATCTACCTGCCTCTGTCTCTCAAGTGCTGGGATTAAAGGTGTGTACCACCACATCTGGCTGGATTTTTAACAAATAAAATTTTAAATAGAGATGATGTTCCAAAGTATTACAATTATATGTGGCTCCACATAACCAAACTTTTAACTATTAATGTATACCTTATACTTCTATTATCAGTAAGTCCCACAAAATCTAACACATCTTTTCAAAATCAAAACTGAATAACTATTCTCTCTCTCTCCATAGACTCCCAATGCCTCCCAAACATGCCTCCTAACTTTACAGACTAATTGAAAGTTCTCTTATAAATATCTGGGAAAGAAGAGTCCACGCAATGTCCAAAGGTGAATCACTCGTTATATAATACAGTCCAAATTTGAATGTTTAACAAAACAAACCAACCTTCTGGCTTTTACACTACCAGAAGACGCCATGCAGGAAGCTGGAGGGTGGAAAGGTGAGAGGAAGTCAACAGTCTCACTCAGCTGTGAGCACAGTAAACTACAATATTGATTCGTACGGAAAGAGATTGATGTCCATGTGTGGTGCAAATGTCATGGGCGTAACCAATTTTTTTTTAATGTCAAAAACATCTCAAATATTTTGACTAAATTTGTTAATAAACAGGACCCCCAGCATAAAGAACCAGGAGATATAAAAGCAATAGTCAGATTAAATTTACTTTCCTTCAGGAGAAAAGGAATATACTCCCTACATTCCTTTCAACCTTCCATTTCCTTTTCTTAATTATCAATTCATTTCTGCATTACTTTTCTTGACAGTACAAAGAAAGAAAATGGCTGCTCTCAAGCTCTGACGACAGGAGCTTCCAGCAATAACTCTGACCCCTATCAGTCATGTAGTGTAACTTCATTTCCTAAGATCAACTGTGAAAACTCAGAGGGCCACAAACTCCCCTACCTTCATTTTCCTCATCTTCAAAGATGTCAGCTAAAGACCACTGAGGTGGATGTCGGACACTGGGCATGGTAGCACACTCCTACAATCTCAGTACTCAGGGACAGAAGCAGAAGACTACAAGTTGAAAGCTAGCCAGGGTTACAGAGTAAAACCATCTCTAAACTTAAAAGACATATCTCAGAGGTAAGTATCCACCAGTGCTATCTACCCCATTTCCTCACAGAGAGCAACTCTTGCAAGAGTAAGAACAGGGAGAGCTTCTAAGGGGTCTCACTGGAGATACCAATTCTGACAAAAGGCACAAACTCTCTACAAAGTCCTCCTTTCATTTGTGAAGAAAGATCTTTACCTAACTGGCATCTCATTACTAGGTGCCCAGAACAAGCCAATACACATCCTATCAAGTGGCTTTTTTTTCTTGTAAGCTTTACTTCTAAGAGTCAAATCAACCCTAAGAAACCAAACACCTAACTTACACCTACAAAGCGTAAAGTTTTTCTTTACTGCATGTTTCAAGGGGGCTTCTTACGCGTACAGGTTCCAGGACCTCACCTCCATGCCCCTGTCACCATCCTTCGATTGCTGGAGAGCTTCTGTTGTCTCCCGGCAGTCTCTGAGCTCGCTCTGCAGCTGAGACACCAGACGACGCTTCACGGAGTTGCTAGTCAGCAAGCGCTGGACTTGTGTTTTCAGCTTCAGGATCACCTCGTCCTTCGATAGCTCTTCATCTGGAGATTCTTGCTGTGCAACACTGATGGGGAAACTCGGTTCAACATTAAATCGAGAAACAAATCAAAGATCCAGAAAACCCTAACCACATGTGGTCACGGTTTCTATCCCTTTACAGTTACAGCATTTTGAACTAACTTTACTTTTTAACACTGTTTTGTTTTCGGGTGCCTCATACATGCTAGTCAAGCATTCTAACACTAAGCTAAACTCTGCTACAGGATTTGGAACTTGGGGGCTAGGAAGATGGCTTGCTGATTAAGAGCACTGACTGCTCTTTCAGAAGACCTGGATTCAATTCTCAGTACCCACATGGGGGCTCACCACCATCAGTAACTCCAGGGGATCTGATGCCCTCTTCTGGCTGCCAAGGTCACCAGGCTCTCACACAGAGCACATACAAACATACAGACAGAACACTAATACACATAAAAAAAAAAAAAAAGTAAGTTAGACCTTGGTCATATACAAGGATCTCACCTTTGCAAAACCAAGTTCATCCCTCAGATGACACTTTCTCCCTTGGTCTTTCTGCCTAGATACAAGCAGTTTAACTCTGACATAGCTCATACTTGAGATTGTCTGGTATGTGTCATGCCAATATTGAACAAGGTGATACAGATGAGGAAGAAAAAATAGCAAACATCAGCTATCCTCACCAACAACTGCGACTGGCCTCTCTTCCAGCTGACTGACTGAAAGCCTGGATGGACTCCTGCAGCCAGAAAATGAAAACCAAACCCAAGCTTCTCTAAACCCCTCTCTTCCTCCTCTCCCCTTACCCCTCCCCTTTCTCTGCAGGAGTAGGGACTGAACCTTGTGGCCTTGTGGATGCTACCCCGGTGCTCTCCTGCTGAGCTGAGTCCCGGCCTCCAAACTCAACTCTACTTCCAATAAACTTAAGGCTTAGAATCAGATTCTAATTTTTTAAGTCATTTTATTATGAGTATGGGTGTGATATGACAGGATCTCTGCCCTCATAAACTCTCAGAAGCTGTGGATGCCTGTAAAAACCTTCACAACCCAGCCACAAAACCTTCAACCTACAGTTTGTCCTGCCTGCAGAGCGTTCTAGGACTGGAGCCTAGCATAATCATCAGAGAGACTCCATCCAGCAACTGATGTGAGCAGATGCAGAGTCCCACAGCCAAACATTAGGCAGTCTGGGGAATCCTGGGCGGGGGGAGGATTGGAGGAACTAGAAGGGCCAGGGACACTGAAAGAACACGGCTCACAGAATCAACTGAGACCTAAGGGGCCTCGCAGAGATCAGGGAGCCGTTAGGAGTCTGACCTAGGTCCTCTGCATATGTGCTATGGCTGAGTAGCTTGGTGTTCTTATGGGATTCCTAACAGTGGGAGTGACAGCTATCTCTGACTCTTGCCTGCCTGTGGGACCCTTCTCTTCCTGGGTGTGATGGCATGCGCCTGGTCTTATTGTATCTTGTTGTGCCATGCTTGCCTGACATCCCTGGGAGGCTTGGTCTTTTCTGAGAGAAGGGGGAGGGGGAGGGAGATCTAGGAGAGGAGGGAGGTAGGAGTAAGAGACTGGGGGAGAGGAGAGGGGGTAAACTGTAGTCACGACATAATATATAAGATAAGAATAAAAAAGGAAAAAAGACAAAGTTAGGTGGAGATAGAGTGGGGATGGATCAGGGAGGAGGTAGGGAAGAAGTGAGGATACACACAATCAAAATACATTGTATGCTTATGTGAAATTCTCAAAAAATAACAAATATGTTATAAAGGAAAAAAAGAAAAGACCTGTTCAAGATCAAATGAGTTACCATTGTAACAGGAAGAATGCAGGGTGCTTCTGAGGTCCCTCGCTCAGCTGAGGAGCTAGTCAGAGCTGAGGGCTTCTGGGGAGAAAGTCAGTTTTCTTTAAGGACATGGATCCTGGTAGGCCCATGCTTCAGTGGGCAGCCCTACACCCTTGAATAGATTGCCAATATAAATGGGACTCAATATCTAAAACACACACACACACACACACACACACACACACACACACACACACACAGAACATCAAGTTGGAGTGGACCTAGGAAGCACTAAAGGGAGGAG